GAGAGAGAGAGAGAGAGAGAGAGAGAGAGAGAGAGAGAGATATTTTCAAATGTTGCAAACTTCTCTTTGTTGGTACTTTCATTCATTTAAATGTAGTAAAAGAGTGGAGAAGAGATTGTGGAGCTCAAGAAAACGTGTGCATATTATTCTTCTCCATTCGTCGAATTAAATAATCTCATTAGGGATCTTGTCAAAGTCAAAGCAGAACTGTTAGTATCGAGACTGGAAGTAAACCATATTAAGAGAATAATGTTAATTTTTATTTCCCATTACAGAACGAGAAGCAAAGATCTAGAACAATGTTTTTTTCTAAGATTGTCTGATTGTATTTTGTAACCTTATAAATCGTCTCTTGATGAAATTGAATCTACAACACAGACTTTCGGAACGGAGCCTATTTATCTTCGCATCCCAATACAGTTTGAAGGTAGTCTTATTGCACATTGGCAGTGTAAAACCTATACCCGTTTCTTACTGTGGTGATTTGAAAGAAACGTGGAAATTTAAAAGCTGTATTAGAAGCAAATCATGTCGAATCACTGAAACATTGTGGAGATTCAAGGGTCATCAGTATTTTCATGGGTTTATCATGTTCTGTTGCTTCCTCTGCCTGAGGGATAGTCAAGACACAGTACATCATTATATCAAATGTGACTGGAAGCCAAGAAGTTCCTTCAGCCCAGGAGCGCCATTGGTTGCCACACGCAAGATACTACTGACACCATTGCATATTAAGCTTGACTTTGTTGAAAACGTTTTAGAAACGCTTGGCAAAAGAAAATCGAAGGTTTCCTCTACTTTAGTGAAAAATTTTGCAGAATATATTCTTCCAAACTAATAAGTTGTTTGTGAGAATGCAGATCAGAGAGCTAATGAAGGACCCAATATATGAACGACTGTCGTGAGGAGAGCATAGAAAAGTTTTCAGTGGCTTTCGCACAATTATCTTCGTAATGAGATGTCTTCTGATTACAAAGAAGGCGGGCAGGAATTAGTGGGTGCGTATCAGGACATGAGATGCCGAATGTCACTGAAACTTAATTTCCTGCATTCACATTTAGACTTTTCCCCATTCAACCTAGGTGATATTGTGACGAGATGGGAGACAGGTTTCACTAGGGCATCAAAGTTGTAGGGGAGAGGTATCAAGAATTTTGAAATCGTCCATGCTTGGAGACTATTTTGGATATTTTGCTGTGATGACCAAAACATTCACAAAAGGAAATTAACAGCTGTGCATATTTAGTTTGCAATTTGTTTTAATTCAATATATGATTTATCTTTACTATTCAATCTATTCAGTATTTACACATAAGATATGTTAATTGTTTGTATCAAAGCTCCAAGTGTGCATATGTAGCTCCAGAAATTGAATACACGAGTATTTCCGAAAGTGCGTTTTGTCTCAACAATGGTACGTGATAGGCAAAAGCCCAATCCAGCTTCGTATTCAAATCAAAACACTGATATAACTGTTTCCTCCTCTGGCGATTAAATTTACTTTCGTCAACCTGTGTAATATATGAATTTTCATTGATTTATATTTAACAAAATGTGCCGTAGTGCCATTTTGTCCTTAGTCATTTGTTTATTTGTATTTTAGGAGTTCTGCAAAATTTCAAATTTAAAAAGTGTACCTTAGTTAAGTTAAACATTAAAAAAATGAAAGGTTCATATTATTAACAATTTCAACAGTTTTATTTAATAGAAAAACATTTTTTTCAATACAAATACATACTCTTCAAATTACAAAGTTGCATTCATCTACATCAAATCTCTGGTATTTAAAAATTATTATACATCATTCTGAAAATCACCTTACACCCCCTTAATTAAAACAATATGATTGTGATTGTACACACGTATCTATATTATGATTTATCTCATACGCGGCTGCAAATACTAAGAAATTATCAAAGATGACGATTTGTGATATTTTCGCTCACACAAGTTGACAAAGGCATTTTGTCGGCATCGAATTTATTTTGCACTAATCTTACAGTTGTAATAGTACGTTAAATTTGTTCCAGCTCCTGGTGCTCCAGTTGTCATTCCAGAAGAATGTGCTGCCGAAAATAACAGTGTGACTATTGCATGGCAACCACCAATGAATTCATGCATTGAAGGTTATGTTTTAGAATTAGACGATGGAATGAATGGTGATTTTCGGGTTAGTATGTTTCATGTATATTACATATTTTATGTTGCAGTGATTAGAATGTAAGATATGTATTGCGTTGAATAGAGAAGAAAATGGTTATTTATTATCTAGGCCGAAAAATGAGTGATTATGGATGAGGTGTTTACTAACCGAGGCGGAGCAGAGCTGAGGTTGTTAAACTAACCGAGTCAAAAATTATTCAATTTCAATCCGAGTTGCATACAACTATTTTTTGTATACTCTACTCCCAATTTGAGGCTTGAATTTTTAGAGAGATCTCATTTATACCACGCGGTTTCGTCGTATAGATGCAGATACCTCTGAAGTTGTCAGTACTATCACAATTGTTAAAGCGTGTAGAATTGCGGCTGGTTTTGGCGATTTGTTTCGTAAGTACGGAGTGCGATATTCCAGAGATTATAAGTGAGGTTCAAAGGTGGCGGAAGGATGCCTGGAAGATTCGGTGGAGTATAAAAACTAAGTAGCTACAATGATTTTGCAAAATGAAAATTGTCCTTCAGAGTTGAGACTACTTCAATTTGTGTTGAAACTTCTAGCACGAGTGCTCAATGCACGGAAGACGTAAAAACATAAAGACGTAAAAAATTCTGTATTCAAAGATAATAAATATTCTGTGCCAACAGTCATTGGTACATTGTCTTGTTTACTTGATGCTGCGATGGTAATCGTTCTCTATAATTCATTCTTGGGCCAGGCCTGCAAAGCTCACCTATGCGGCGTATAAATGCTCTGCCAAATACGGGTTTTGAAGTGAGGACACGAAAAAATGCCTTTGGACGCAGAATATAAAATTCTGGGTGACGACCAAATCCGTACGCTTACAGAGTACGTCGAACACTTTTGGAGGCGATGGCTGTTCTTCCCTTCGAGGGTAGGCTCTGCAGAGATGATGTAGATTCAGAGATGCAAACTATTTTTAATTTTCTTGGAAACAGTGACGAGGAATATCAATTTACCATTGAAGAATTGATAAAAGTTGTTGATGATTTTCTTCCTCGTCAAAAATAGTTAAAGCACTTGTACCTAATGTTTCAAGGATTTACAGATACATCGTGCGAAAAATTAGGTCCTAACTAATTATATGAGCATCGGAGTGTTAATCATTTCACAATGACAATGTGCCTCTACAACGGGTTTCGGTAAGACTGTTTTAAAATTGTTTCTGATTAAGATCACATTGCCTGTTTTGAATTTGTTTAATGTGTTGTAACTCGGTAGTATTTTACCAGTTGATAAGTAAATCTAATTTTGCTATAAATTCTGGGTCTCCTATTTTAAATTTTTGTATTTTAAAAATATGATAAACTCTATCTCTCAAACGTTTGCATCGATTTTGTTTTACTTTCCAAACTGATAACTAGCAATGTCACTCCTAAATTGTTTTATTTTGTTCTCAATTCTCTTTTTCCGTTTTGGTTTTTGAACTTCTTTCGTAGTTCCTGACGTCGACGTGGGGCGACGTGTTTTGAGCACTGAGTACCGTTCTTGCTGCACAATAAGCGTGCAGTTGCAAGGACTCTAAACTGAATATAGCTCTTGTGCTAAGAATTTCATTGACAACTCCCAGAAGTGAAAGAGTAGTGTTGTTGGGGTAGAGTTTTGGTAAAGGAGCTCTAATATTTGGATCTGTGCCCTGGTACAGAGAAATCTTCGTATCGATATAATTTTGCATTTTCAATATCAATTCTGTATATACATTAGTTTGTTCTTCTGCAACTGTATTGTATTGTATTGTATTCTCCTTCAGAAGTAGTGATAGATTGATCATTTCCATCACTGAGAGATGTGTAATCGGTATCTGTTGTTACTACATTTTTGAAATGTTAACGAAATATTTCTTTTCTAATCATGCCTTGTTCACTAATTACCGGCTTGCCAAGATTATATGTCTGTCACGTTGGATTTGTTCTGTGAATTTGCCAGTATCTGGTCGATGATTCATTAGTTCTTGGTCCATTTTGGACTAAAGTTCACTGTAACTGTTTCACACTGTTGCAGTTAGTACGACCGTAATATCTTTGTGGGTCCATTTAAAACGAGCTTCGGCAGAAGTCTTTTTAGGGCCCGTGACGCTCAATGGTCGAGGTAAACTAACAGGAGATTGTCTGATTTCTCTCCTTTGTTGTTCTAAGCTTAGTGGTCCAGTCGCATATTCGGATTCCCTCGTGGGAGTCGCTGTACATCCCGAAGCTCATTCGCTGGTACATGGCTCACTGCCACACTCAGCACCAGCTGCCCTGACGCTCATCAGACAGCGGCCGTTTCTTCAAATAATATTTTCTCAAAGACTTCACCTTTTAACCCTACGGCCAGGGTTATTTTCTCCCTTCGAGGGTAGCGTTCTCCATGGCAGCGACGCTAGCCGGTGCCAGCTGAGTCCTGTTATTTTATAGAGGTACGCCCTTTTGAAGACTTCCGCTCCTTGGTCCGTTGGTCTTCACAGAGGTCCGTTGGCATGCATATCATCACTATGGAAGGTCCCAGGCGGCACGACGTGGACTTGACTTACTCTAGAGGCGGGAATACATATTACAGAAATAATCGTGTGAAGTATTATTATTATTATTATTATTATTATTATTATTATTATTATTATTATTACAGTAAACAAATTATCATACTTGCAATTTAATGGTATAATTTAAATTTAGGTATTTTCTTTGCATTTACAAATGTATCAATAACAGTAGGAATTGGTACCGGGACATTGTGTCCAAAATAATGTACACCCACTGGGAAAGCTTGTTAATAATGAGCAATATTTCATTACTTATAAATTTGCAGGATATTTAAAAGATCTTAGTTTTGAAATTTCATTCGATAAACAAATGCGGGGAGACAATAACCGAGACAAGTTTTCCGTAACATCTGCAAGGTATTTTCAATTTTTTTTTCTTTGTAAATGTCTTTGTCAGAAAGAGCTATCAAAACTTGTGGCTTAATTCGTGTCAAAATTGCCACTATGTGTTACTCCATCAAGTCGTCGCCCCTACTCGTCAATGGCAATATCTAGGCATACATAGTATACATTTGATTTGTAACTTCGCCATCAGTGAGTCGTTGATTCTCGCCAAGTTTGCTAAAAAATGTTTCATTTTCTTCAAACGTTCATCGCTAAATCGCACTTCTACTTTCATTTATTTATTTAGGTCAAAAACAGTTAAAAACTGTGTGTGACGTGCTTCGGGGAGAAGTTAATTTGAAGTTACATTTATGTCCAGAAGCAAAACAAGGGGCCATCTCAGCATTTGCTCGAGGATCAGGGAAACTGAACGAAAACTTGATCGAGATGGGGGCCATTGACCCCGAAGCTGAAGTACAATACTTGTTACCGGTTCTTTACAATTATTAAATCCAAATAATATATAATATATTAAATACCATTGTTAAAATTAATATTACTTTCCTTTTGGATGCTTGGTATAGTCTCTAATTGTACAGAAACTGTTGTGCTGCAGAAAAGATTTCACTCATGACTTCAACTTTTGATCGTTTTGGAACGGATTTAATCGTTTAATTTCATCTGGCAAGGTGTTGTAAAATAATGTACATGTATTATATGTGATTTTTTTTGTAGTAAGATGTTATTACTGTTACCTTATGAATATGATTACTACGTTGAGTGTTGTAGTTATTAGTACACGCTAGTTGTAGTTATAGACAACGGCGTTTGGTGAAAATATATTCCCGCCCTTAAGTAAGTCACTTTTGTCAAAAATCACTGATTCATATATTAAGAGACAAGGTAGTGGTAAAATACCTAGATTAATAAAGAGAGGCTTACAAGAATCACGAGGGTGGGATTTGCTTATTATTCGTACAATTCTTGTTTGTAATCTAAAAGTCTGGGAGCTACAAGATGTATTTCCCCAGCATATTATGCCATATCTCAGGCGGGAATGAACATTTGCGAAAAATACACAACGAGCAGTGTGGAGGCTGACTGAATTTGAAAGAATTCTGAATGCGTAGAATAAAGAACTTAATTTAGTATTCAATTCATTTAAATGGACGTTCCATTTAAGGTTTGACTGAATTGAAAGACCTAAAAATGTTGTTACCTTAACATCAGTCAATGGCACTCGTTCATTTTCATTGAAGTGCCGAACTGTTTATCTGAAATGGAGAACTGCATTGAAACAGTTTTATTTTCATTTACTATTACTTTGTTAGTATGAAACCAATTTGAAATATCTGATATTGTACTATTTACGGTTTCTTTATTGCAAAGAATATTCGTATCGTCCGCAAAGAGAACTATTCTTCCATTTATAATAGTCGAGGGCCTAGCATTTTCGTATAGTAGGAAGAGAATATGGGCTAAAATCCTCTTAGGGACTACAAATGCAATTGGCAAAGAATCAGAAAGGTGTGTGCATAATGGTCCATTGTTGCAGTAAGGTATTTCTACTCTCTAAGATCGTTGTTTAAGATAATTAAAGATGTTGTCATTGCCAACAATATTTTTTAATTCAATAGCAGCTTTCGATGGCTTA